CGAGTCTTTCCCCTGCAAGATGTCTCCGAGATCCGTCCGTGCAGGGCGCCCTTCCTTATCGTGGGATTCCACCTACGTGTGACCAGACCGCAGCCCATCCAGCTGGTCGCCCGCTGAAGGACATTTGCATCACTTCCAATTTCTGGCAGTTACAAATGAAGCTGCTCTACACGTTGGCATCCAGCTCTTGTGTGCACAGAGTTTTCACTTTTTCTCGGGAAAACACCTATGAGTGGGATTGTTAGATCAAGTGCTAAGTGTGTGTGGAATGTTACGAGAAACTGCCAAGCCGGTTTCCAAAGTGGCCAGACCGTTTTGCCTTCCCCTCAGCACGTGCAGGTGCCGGGGCTCTTGAGTTCTCGCCGCTGCGTGGTCTAGGTGTTCCGAATTTTAGCCGATCTCACAGGTGTACTGCAGATCGCACCGTGGGTTCTCCTCTCCTGTTTCGGATGACGAAGCACGTTTTCAGGTGTCGATTTGCCATCGGCGCCTCTTCTTGGATGAAGTGTTCTGTCCAATCTTCCAACTGGATAATCTTCTTATCGAGTAGTAAGAGTTCTTTATGTATTCTAGATACAAATCTTTGACCAGAGGTAAGTTTTGAAAACGTTTCCTCCCAGTCTGTGGCTTTTCATTTTCTTTACGGTGCCTTCTGAAGCACAGACCTTTTTAATTTTGTTGAGGTCCAATTATTATTTTTAAAATTTTCTGCTTTGTGCTTTTTGCATCTTATCCAAGAAATGTTTGCTTAGCCCAAGGACACAGAGGTTTTCTCCTGTGTTTTCTTCTAGAATTTTTATAGTTATAGCTTTTACATTTAGATCCATGAACCATTCCTAGTTAATATTTGTTAATATTGGGTAGTTAATCTAGTCCGTTCGTGTAGATAGTGTGAGGGAAGTTTTGAGGCTCTTGATTTGCATAAGGATGTCCATTTCAACACCTTTTGTTGCAATGACTGCATTTCTCCAGTGGGTTACCTGGCTCCTTTGTTGAAAACCTAGTGCCATAAACATAATTATTGATTTCTGGGCTCTAGTGTCATGCTGTGATTTATACGTCTATCTTTAAGCCAACATTCTGTCCTGACTGATGCAGTTTATGGTGAGACTTGAAATCAGGGAGGATGAATGCCTGACTTTATTGTTCTTCAACATTGTTTGGGGTTTCCTTGGTCCTATGTATCTCTTTTTGAATTTTAGGATCAGCTGGTTAATTTCTTTTTTTACAAAAAAAATGAGCTACCTGTGGTTTTGCTTGAAATTGCATTAAAAATATAAATCAATTTGGGAAGAATCGATATCTTAATACTGAATGTTGGAGTCCGTGAACAGGGTGTAACTCCATTTATTTAGGTCTTTTTTTGGTCTCTCAGTGGTATCTTGTAGTTTTCTGTGAACGGATTTCACACATATTTTGTTAAACTTACCTCTAAGTATCTCAAGGCTTTTGATTCTTTTTGTAAGCGGTATTGTCTTTATAACTTCAGGTTCTAATTGCCCATTGTTAGGGTACAGAAGCAGGATTTTTCTACACTGGCCTTATAGCCTGTGACTTTGCCAAACTCACTTGCTAGTTTTGTAGTTTAGGGTTTTCTACAGACAATAATGTCACCTGCGAATTGAGATGGTTTTAATTTTTCCTTTTCAGTCATGTAAAAGCATAAACAGAAGTGTTTTGGGATTTGTTTTCCTTGCCTTATTGCATTGGCTAGGCCCCGTGGGCTGGAATAAAGCGGTGCCGGGGCACATTCTCGCCTCCCTCTGGCGGGTGATGCCTGCTTCCCTCTCTTCACCAGACTGAAGGAGCCTGGTCTTAGTTTCCCCAGAGTTTTTGTTTGTTTAATCACGAATGGGTGCTGAATCACACGGTGACCCGTATCGATCAGTCCTGAAACTTTAGACTAACCTTACATTCCTGGGATAAGGCCCGCCTGGTCATACGCTTTACTCTTTTTTACCTTGCTGAAATCGGGTTGCTAATGTTCTGGGAAGGAGTTCTGTGTCTGGGCTCCTGAGGGGTACTGGACGTGGATCTGCTTTTCCTGCCTTGTCTGCGTGCGGATCTGGTGCCAGGGCTATGAGGGTCTCGTAGGAGGGGCTGGAAGCGCCCCCTGCTCTGTGCTATTTCTTCTTTAAGTGTCCGGTGCAGCCCTCCCCCCAGATCCCTGGACCAGGCAAACGGAAGCCTGGCCATGAGGGGTCGTCCTCTTGACCCCCACAAAGATGGGGCGATGGTGTGTTCTGCTGTAAATGTGTTGAGTTTGAGAATCTGTGCAACGGAGAAGGAAGGTGGCCCCACGGCCCTGGAGCTGGGGTGGGACTGGTGACCGGCTGAGGCAGTTGCCTGGAGGACTCAGACGGGCAAGTGGAGGGGTCCCACACAGAGCCCTGCGGGACCTCGATGCGTGGGGTGGGGCTCCACGGGAAAGACTGACATGTGGCCCCAGAGGGAAGACCCTAGGAGCTCAGGGGTGGGGTGGGGTGGGGATGGGAGATGGGAGTCTTGAAAGCCAGGAGTGTCAGACGAGAGCAGTCAACGGCCCAAATGCTGCTGAGGCTACAGGGAAGGTGGGTCCTGACAAGTGCTGCAGGTTGGCGGCCCTCTAGACTGTAGTGGTACTGTTCCAGCACATGGAAGTGTGCGGTCCGCAGGGCATGTGCCCCCAGTCGCGGCTTGGCGACACACCTGGGCTAGCCCTCCACTTCTGCCTACAGAGGACCCTCACCCACCCTGTACACTTGACTTGTCTGCCTCCAGGGAGAACTGGCCACTGGGTAATTTTAGTCCAAGTTCCCAAATGCTCCTTAAATCCAGCTAGCCCACAGCTCCCAGCCTGGAGCTGAGCCTCGGGCTGTGTTTCATGCTATGAGCACGCCCTCCACCTTCCCCCAGGACAGGACCCTGATTAGAGCCGCACACCTTTTGAGGCCCCAGCACTTAGAACACAACCCGGTTAGCGCGTGGGCCCAGCGGGGCAAATAGTCCTTCCGAGGGCGGTCTCCCCTTGCTGAGCTGAGAAAGGGGAGATGAGAACAGCCCCCGCCCGCCGCCCCCCCACCCCGGGCGGGGCGCTAGAAAGATCCGGGAGTTTGCAGAGTTCCCACAGCCCTCCCCCCAGGGTGAGCAGGAGCAGGGGATGGTCCTGAACTGGCGGTAAACAGCGGGGAGCGCGCAGCACAAAACCTGCAGGTGTGCCCTGGGCAGACTAGCGCCTCCGCCAGGAGCCCGGCGGCTCCAAGGCTGCGGGCACTCCCGCACCCACAGGGTTCTGGGCTCGGCCCTGGCCCTCGCCTTCCCCTTCCCCGCCCCCACCGTCTGCAGCGCTAGCGTCTTTCCCAGAGAAACGGGGGCCCTCCACGTCTGGCGGCCTCTGCAGACGCCTCCCCGGAGCCGTCGGGGCCAGTGCGCCTTGGCCCAGCCGCCGAGCCCACGGAAGATGGTCCGCGCAAAAGCCCGGGAGCCGCCGCCCCCGGAGGGAGGCCGCTGCTGCTGTGTGACCTTGGGTGAGTTCCTTGACCCCGCTGTTCTGGTCACCGTGGACACCCGGGCAAATGGAGCAGAGGCCAGCGCCCCGGGCACGGCCTCGCGAGGTGCAAGGTCACGACTCGGCCACTCGCTCCCCGCGGCGCCGCCCCTCCCGGGGCAGGGGAGGCGAGACACTCGTTACGACCGCGGTGATCGGGGCTAGCCGGGACGGCACGAGGGGGCCGGGGGACCAAGGGAACCGGGGGGGAACGGCGGGGACCGGGGGTCGCGCCGCAGCACCCGCCAGGGGACAGCCTCCCGGACCAATTGCTCCGCTGCGGGAGCTCGGCTGTCGGGGCGGGGTCCGGGCGGGGCGAAGGCCAGGGAAGGGGGGGGGGGGCGGCGGACCTGGAGACGCCCAGGCCCGGCCCGGCCCCGCCCCCGCCCCGCCCCGGACCCGTCCCGGTCCCGCCCCGCCCCGCCCCGGACCCGCCCGGCCTCGCCTCGCAGAGTCCATCTCCTCCAAGAGCTCCCAGCGGCGGGGCGGGCTGAGAGGCGGAGCGACGAGCCAGGGCGCCGCTGATTGGTTGATGACGCTGATTGGCGGGCGCAGGAGCCACTCGCCGCCACCGCGGCAGGCGGCTGCGCTCGTTCGGGCTCGGCTCGGCTCGGCCGCTAAGCTCGGCTCGGCTCGGCTCGGCCCGGCCTTTCGGCGCGGCTCGGCTCGGCTCGGCCGCTCGGCTCGGCTCGGCTCAGCTCGGCGGCTCGGCTCGGCCCGGCGGCTTGGCTCGGCTGGGCTGTGCGGCCGCGGACTGACGGACCGGCGTGCGCGGGGGGCGCGGGGCGCGGGCCTCGGCGGCGGCGGCGGCGGCGGCGGCGGAAGCCTGGTGCCCCCGCCCGCCCGGTCCTCTCTGAGAGCCGAGGCAGCGCCGCCGGCCGGGCCGC